CTGAACGAGCGTGACACACGGCTCGAAAGCAGCGGAGCCTTTATTATGCCACAGTCGACCGCTTCCGCTTCTTCCGGTCATGCGTATGTGGGGGAAAGCAGCGCTGTTTTATCATACTAGATACATTTGAAAGTTCTGTTATAATGCTACTCTGTGCGGTCGTCACCGGTCTATTAAAACGCACAACATATTAAAGCGTCTTTGGTGTTTCCATGTTTTCTACAAAACAAAACGGAAATCGAGGGGTTATGACGTCATCAGCAGGCGACACAATGACTTATGAAAACGGTCCGTGTCACTAGTTAAAATTGCTTATTTCTCTGGATTTAAACATTCTTCAAAACATTTGGGATAATGTAAGTACACAAGTCAGCAAAATATATAACACTGTTCTAGTGGTTTTTGGATATTTTAATAAAAAAATCTTACATATTGTGCCTTTAATTTGTGTGTGGTCTCCTTTTTTATCTCAATCTGTTTGCAGTAGAAGACAAATGGTATGAAATAGCTCCAAATAACCTTTCGTCAATGACCACACACGATAAAACATTGTTGTTTTTTGTTACATTTCTATTTAATGCATTTTTGTATTTCTTAATTAAAATGTAGTTATTCATTAATTCAAACTTCAAGTAATTAATATTTTTTCTTTCATGTTATCACAAAGACAAAATGCCCCTTTTTACCCACTAGAGGTCATAGTTGCAAAAATAGACCTACTTGTTTGAAAGCGACTCCACTGGCTGGTTGCTGCATAGCAAAAGAACCTTCCCATTGCTGCTCCTTGTGGACAAATGTGGAGGAGGTCTGGACATATGAGGCCCCAGTAGTCATGCTGGTATAACTGGATTCTCCCACATAACCCTCCTGCTTCCATGGAGGCAGAACATCTGCAGCCTGTGCGACTTGTTTGAGTGTAGTCATTGGGGACTTGACTGGTCTGATAGGGGACACGGACAGTCTTGAAGGGGAAACAGGCCTAAAAATAAAACATAGGGGGGAAAAGAATTAACAAAGGATAAATGCTACATAAGAAATATATTTAATGTATTGTAAAGTTAACATTGGTTACACAGAACATGAATTCATTACATCATCATTGCACTTAATTTTTCATAAGCGTTGGTGAGGGAACAAATTACTCTCCATTACATGTCACTATTGATCTCAGTTCATTTATTTAGAATATGTGCACTCATACAAGGTCTTAGTACATGTAAAGGTATCTACTAAAAAGTAGTGATAATGTTGAAAATATACTTCACCTGTGAGGTGTGTGAATGGGGGCTTTAACAGACCTCACAGGGGATGGTGACTGATGGCGCCTAGCTGCGACCTTTGACACTCCTGTCGGTGGGGTTGGGGACTTTGAGGTCGGCTTAGGAGGCACACGGGGTGGCGCCTTGTGGGCCAAATCACCATCCTCTATTTGCATTTCCATCATGGCTGTGGACTCAAATGATGCCTCCATTCTCTGTGAAGGACACATAACACTCAGTTAGCATGTTCTTTGGTGGTCAGCTTCAGGTGTGAATTTTTTTCAGGATGTTAACTACCTTTTCAACTCTAGCCTGGCGAGTCTGTGAAATCTGGGAAGTTGAAACAAAAGTCTTGGTCTTCTTTGCAGGCACTGCAACCTCCTCACCTGAAATTGAAAAATAATATTAAAAAGATACATACACACACATATGTATGTATATTGGCCTACCCTATATCAAAAAATATCAAGTGAAGTTATTTCATTTGGAAATCAAACCTTGAACCAGAAGTTCAGCTGTAGAGGTAGTACGTCCACTGCTGTTAGAAGCACTGACAGAATATGTTCCAGAATCTTCTGGGAAGGCCTCTGCAATTAACAAACTGTAAAGGTCTTCGTCTTGAACAATCTGAAAGTCAGCAGAGCTCTGAATCTCAGCTCCCTCTCTGTAGAACTTCACCACAGGTGTAGGGATTCCTGTCACTCGAACATCCAGTCTCACTTGGCTTCCTTGTCTAACAGTCACACTCTGTAGTCTCTGAATGAAGTTTGGTGGCGCAGTTTCCGCTTTGAGGCAAACAAAAAAAACTGTGTTTGTTTGGCACAAAAAGTAAATGACAGAAAAGTACACAGCTGTTTCTATGACTGCTTACCTGTAACCAGCAGTTCAGCAGTGCTAGTGGCTTGTCCAGCGCCATTGGTGGCTCTCACAGAAAATCTTCCACTGTGTGCGGCTGTCACAGCGGGGATCATCAGAACAGCGCGGCCATCGCTGAACGAGATCTGAGCGCCGGGCAGAGCGGCAGCAGTAAGAACCTGGCCATCACGAAACCAGCTCACCTCTGGAACTGGATTACCTACAGAAAAATATAGGAAGAAATTATAAAATAATCAATTTTAGAACAGTGTTTTCCAATCATTTTGCCTTAAATACCTCCACAGCCCTATCAGTAAAGCTCAGGTACCCTTTTATCAATGACAAACATGCAATATGTATTTTTGTCCCACTTTTTTCTTCTGTTCTTACCACTAACTTGAGCCTTGAACGTTGCGGCACTACCCTCAAGTGCCACAACGCTCTGAAGCGGCTGTGTAAATGTTGGAGCTTGTGTTGACATGGCAGAAGGCACCCTAGGAAAAAAAAGATTCACATAGTGAATACCACATTACAGCCAGATATTTTCTTGATGCCCACTGAATCAATTATATATACAACAGCATTACAGTGTATGTTACATGACAAACTAGGTGGGCTATTTATATAGCTGTAAAAGAAATGAACTGACTAATCACTAACACCCCCTGCCCCCACCTGCACCTGGCCATCAGCAGCCTGTCATTTGTGAGAACTGTGAACAGTGGAGCTGTTGAGTGTCAGGTCAAGCACCCAATTGAATATGTTGGAAATGTGTGAACAGCAACTGTGAGCTGTAAGATAAGGCTATGAAACACCTAAATACATAAGTAACTTAACTAAAACGTCCTGATCAACAAGATATTTCAACAGTAGAAACTGTGTAGCTGATGTTTCAAATTATTATTGGCTTACAAAAGAACATAGTGCTCAATTTGCGCCAGCTTCAGATGAAGCCCCCAAAAGCTAAACTAAATTAAACAATTCAGTAGCAAAATAGTTTGTATTATTACTGGTACTATACAATAATTTAGTCAGAAATTACCATTTAAAAGCTCATTGAAAATATCAAGCATGTCAACTATATATTTGTTAAGTAAAACAGCCAAGATTTTTAAAAAATATATTTTAAAATGAAAATCTTTGACTATAAATATATATTTTTTATGATTAAAGAAGAAAAAACGTGTGTGTGTGTGTGTATACATATAAAGCTTTTCTTGCTATTGTAAACAATATTGTGCCAACCCATCTCAGGGTTAGGGTATCCAAAGTGATCTGCAAATGTGCATTTTGACATGTTGACAAGTACTTCACTCCAAAAGTATAATAATCCATAATGGTCTTGAAAAAAAATCTCAGTGACAAAATTTCCACTGAACAAAAAACATACCAGCACACATACAAGCATTACAAAAAGCTTCACATGTGTATCATACAGATATTTCCCATACATAATGCAATATAACATTTGTCTTCACTGTCGCATCTCATATATAAAAAAAACTAAAACAATACGATTATTAGATAATTACATATAAATAAAGATCAATACAGCGTAACACAAGAAAGAAAGAAAGAAAGAAGACAAAGAATTTACTCAGTTAAGCCATCTGCATCATTAGTCAAATGGAAGAAACCAACAGGTGAGAGCGGACAAGCATTGCTCATAGCATGACTCACTCAACTATTTGTGTAATAAATATAAATTTTAAAAAATGTCAATACAAATTTAATTCCAACTAAATGGCATCAAGTATGAAGGCTGATATTCACTATGACAGAAATGGCAGTCTCCAAAAATAATCTGTCCCTTGTTTGATTGACAGTCACCATGTGGCACATAGCTGGCGGTGCAACTGATATCTCTGCTGCTGATTCCCTTAAAAAGACATCATGGCCCAGCTGGGTCACCACTCTAATGTTATCACAGGCTATTCTTGGCTATTCTGAAATCACTGCACCATTTAATAACCTTGAGCATTATTATGTTTTATAAAATTCTTGAAAATTAACACAGACTGACTACTTGTAAAACCTCAAACAAATAGCACATTGCAAGCAACAGCACTTTTATTTTGCTTTAAAAAGGTGTGGAAGCAAGTATCATTGTAGCTGATAAATAGACTTGCTTTAATGACTGTGTTCTACAGAGTAAATGCCACTTACTTGTATCACAAGGCTGCCTACACTTGATGGGACTGTGCCCAGTGCCTCAGCAACAATCCTCTTATCCAAAATGTTTCCAGGAAATCCAAGGTGAGAACGGTTGGGCCCCGTTATAACCCAAAAAACAAAACTACACAGGGTCTAGACCGTGTAGTTTTGCTTTTCCCTTGCAATCCCTACACCCGAGGCAAGGCTGGGAATGCTCCAACTGCTCAGAACTGCTAACATAGTTGTTTTAGTTTATATACCTCGAGCCTATTCTGCATCATCACTAACAAGCCACTCCCAAATTGGTCTCTGTGCACAAAGCATCATGGGAAAGTGATGCATTTTATGCAACTTCACACCTGTTACTCAGTGGTCCCCCTCCACGAAGTTAATGCAAGCTTGATATACCTCTCACTCTGGAGTTTCTTTACTACATTGAGTCTGTGGATTCATTGTTCATGCAAGCAAATGATTATGTTCATGCCCCATTCAATGACATTGCAATGCTGAAAACCCTTATGGCAGGCATTAATCTGTTGATGACCAAAAGGAGAGACTGGCTGTCCCTGTCACTCAAAGGAAGGGCAAGGCAAGGCAACCCCCCACTGTAAGGGACAGATATACTGGTTACAGAATGCTTGCTAACTTGCCTATTTTTGACATTTGTTACACAATCATCCACATTTTTGAGTCTTGATGAACGAAACATCACATCTCACAACTTTGTTTCAATGGCCAGGTTAACGTTTAAAAGAAAAAAGCACATTCAAGCTCTAAAATGCACTGCTTTTGCAACAACAAGAGTTTGTAGCCACTGTTTGGAGTGTAAAATTCAACACCACTAAAAGCTCCTAAAAGTAATTTTACTCATTATAATTTAAAAGATTTTATGTCTTCATGTCCAAAACAGTTGGTGGCTTTTAATTTTTAGCATAGCATGTTAATGCTATTCTGGAACAGGATATTAAGAACAAAAATGAACCCTAGCTGACACTAAAATGTACGTCTTTACAACAAGAATGACTCTCATTCTAAAATTAGCTCATTACAAAAGGATAAATAAACATGCAGAAAGGAATATAGCTTTCACATTCTCCTGACGTGGCCTCATTTATCCATGATACTGAAATACTGAAAAACCGATGATCCAGCCTGATTATTAAACCTTAAACATGAATAAACCTGATTATATAATAAAGCTGTGTAATGAGACACGGACTACTTGGCTGTCCCTGTCACTCAAAGGAAGGGCAAGGCAAGGCAACCCCCCACTGTAAGGGACAGATATACTGGTTACAGAATGCTTGCTAACTTGCCTATTTTTGACATTTGTTACACAATCATCCACATTTTTGAGTCTTGATGAACGAAACATCACATCTCACAACTTTGTTTCAATGGCCAGGTTAACGTTTAAAAGAAAAAAGCACATTCAAGCTCTAAAATGCACTGCTTTTGCAACAACAAGAGTTTGTAGCCACTGTTTGGAGTGTAAAATTCAACACCACTAAAAGCTCCTAAAAGTAATTTTACTCATTATAATTTAAAAGATTTTATGTCTTCATGTCCAAAACAGTTGGTGGCTTTTAATTTTTAGCATAGCATGTTAATGCTATTCTGGAACAGGATATTAAGAACATAAATGAACCCTAGCTGACACTAAAATGTACGTCTTTACAACAAGAATGACTCTCATTCTAAAATTAGCTCATTACAAAAGGATAAATAAACATGCAGAAAGGAATATAGCTTTCACATTCTCCTGACGTGGCCTCATTTATCCATGATACTGAAATACTGAAAAACCGATGATCCAGTCTGATTATTAAACCTTAAACATGAATAAACCTGATTATATAATAAAGCTGTGTAATGAGACACGGACTACAATTATGGAACTGGCTTGTGTTACTAAAAAAGATATTACAAAAGGCTAGTAGGATAGAATGATATAGCAGGTACATGACAAACCAATAAACTCATTACACAAGAAAACTCTTTTCAGTTAGAGACAGAAAAAAAGAAGGAACATCTAAAAAGCGTCTTAATAAATTGGTAGTTTTCACTTTAAAAATTGCAATGCACTGCATAGTTGGAATGATCCAAGGACAGTCTATCTCTGGAACAGACTAGTAACTTTATGATGGACTACCATGTCCCCAATTAGACCCCTGAGTCATTTAGGGCTTAATGTCTGTAGGAAAAAAGCTAGACTGGCCAAAGCAATACAAGTGTGTGTGTCAGAAGGCCTGAAATCAAAATAGTGAACAGGCTGTGACAAAATAACGTTTCTGGACAAGCAGCAATAGAAACAACCACTGAGAGACACAAATTCACAGCATGAATGTGATATACTGATAACCAATATTCCTCGTGTTAAAATTACTTGAGTAATGTGTCATGCTTTCTAGATAAACTAACTAATGCCAAATGCATGTATTTTACAGGCAGTTGTGGTGCGGAGATCCCAGGAACTAGAAATACAGCAATGTTTCATTGTTGCCAATAGATATTCAATTAAGTAATGCTATTATTTTACAGCTTTCATAGCGGTTAATATTCAAATAATGCCAAGATCTATGCAAATACATTACTAAACCATTTGCTGAAACTCCTGAAAACAAATGTAGGAAATGGAAAGTTGTGTTCCGCTCAGTGAGTGAGATTTTCTTGCTCTTGTATGGCACATGCGTTTATTTTGGTAGTCCATCACTGTAGTCTAAAGATGTGATTTAAACAGCAGCCATTTTCGTCTCCCTCACCAGGAGCTGGCAATGGTATCATGTCTCCCAGAGGAAAGCTCATGTGTCACCGATGAACAGCTGCAGCCTTCTAAATTCAAGTTTGGGACATTTAGAACTGTCACTCGGGTCTTTTCCTACAGTAAAACAGGGAGGTGCTTTTCATACACAGGACTGTTACTAAATGTACTACAACTACAAATTGGTTTTAGGAGGAGAAAAGTGATCAAATCTGGGATGAGGCCACCAAGAATGTTGTTGTGGACTCTGGAGCAGAGGGGGCCACTGCAGTGACTCATCACATGCAACACAAACATAAAGGCTTTTACTGGACCCTACGATTCCTGCCTGCGCTGCTGGTTTTGTGTCAAAATAAGGTCATAACAGGGTTGTACCACCTGGGCAAGGCATTTAGTGATGGGGGTGGCATAAACAGCTGCATCGACTAAGACAATCACTTCAGAGTTGCTACAGTGTGACTCTGGTCAAGTTAATTTATGACTAACTAAAACAAAGTACAGTGAATGTCCAGAGTTTTTTTTTATAAATGTTTTTTTATAAATTTCATAAATTTTTTGTCCTGCATTGCATTAAGAAACATATTTATAGTCCAAAATAACAGTTGCAACACTATAATGTTATTCCTTCCTAGCAAACACTCTCAAAAGAATCTCATCTTCTTCTGTCAAAATAGCATGCAGTGTCACCTGACAGGCAGCAGCAACTGCACCTCTTGGCTGTCAGCATGTTTATGCATGCATATTCAAAAGGTGGCTCCAGCAGCAGTAAATCAAGAGACCTGCCAAAAAGTCATGGCTATTACTTTAATTGGTTTAGTTACGTGTCATGTTTCTTTTTAACCTAAACAATAAAACATGCAGAAATTAAATAATTACAATAAAATAATACAATATATTTCATAATCATTCTCTTGATTTGTGTGGTCAGTCAAATATTTTGACATGTTTCTTGAGGAGCTGTACAACATACTAGGTGCCTCCTTGTGGACAAACCTTGGGTCAAACTTATAAAAGACAATCACCTTGTCCACTTCTGTATTCAATAAATAGAACATCAAATATATATATATATATTTAAAAAAAATTATTTTAAAAAGAGGATTTCACTTTAGCCTTTATTTGAAGGTTGTATTTTAAAATATTGCGCCATCCAGTGGTTAAATATGATAACAGCAGTGAAAACCAAGACAAATTATCTGGTTTAAATTATACTTACCCCATTTTAAACAAAGAAAAAGAAAATGTCCACACACTGAAATTATAGCTCAATTATTACAGATGACTGAATTTACAGGGTCTTATAAAATCAAGCTAGCAACTTAAAAATTGTACTTACAAATGTATCCCTTTTATCAGCTTCATCTCATCAAACATGTATCTTAGATTTTCTGAGTAGTCTAATGTGAATTCTGTTCTCACAAGCAAACATAACAGATTGTCTTGGAAAAGCTCCTCACTAGTTTCCCCACGGAACTCAATGAGGTATTTGAACGCATCCCTTTTACTCTTTTTGTGGGGATGTTAGGACATTATTAAATGACCAATGAGCACTAAAGATATACTGTACAACATCAACACCAAGAAGTCACCAAGTGAATTATGTGTTTACAGTCAAAGCGTACCTGATTATCTTCAAGGAGTGAATTGAAGGAGTTCCGGCCACTCCTTCCATAGCTCACAAGAGTTCATGCAGATGTGGTGTGTAATGAGCTAATTCATTTATAAACATTTGCTCCAGATGAATTGGCTGTTACTCTTCAGAACTCCAACTGATTCTAGTGAGTAAAGAAATATGATTAGAGCATGAAAAAACAAAACAAATCCTAATTTCTGATGGAAAGCACTGAAATGGTCCTCATATGATCTTGAATTGTCATTCTTCATTCTTCAACTAGAACCCGGGTAATAAAAAAAAAAAAAAAATGACTTTCTGTCAAAAGTTTATGTTAAGAATTTATTAACACATTTACATAATTCATTTAAAAAAAAAATCCAGACTTAAATAAACATGCTCCTTTATTTTGGCTCTTTTCGACACAGAACGTTTTGAATTTTACAGACTGAATGCCAAAAGGGAAAGCCTCTGCTATCTACTGATGTTTCTACTCCAAACCACTGGGGTAAATAACTAAAAAAAATTATAAATGGCCATTAAAACTTGTTTTCGAGAAAACAGCCTCTAAACATTCCAAACGATTTCAATACAACTTTTTTTACAGAATTAGACAAATACAATATCAATGTTAAGTAAAATATAATGCATTTATAATATAGAGCACATATTTAAGACATTGGAAACTAGTTCTTCTCGAGAGTTCTTTTATTCTAGCTATCTGCTCACAACGTTTTCATCATGTTTGACAAATATTTTAGTGGATGATTGGGCCGTTACCTGAGAGATAATGCATTTTAGTAAGTTGTATGTATGTCTTACAACATACACTCTCATGTCCATTCGTG